GAGCAACTACATTTTGTTTCTTGCTCTTCCAAGACACTAGATTGCCTCCTACTAAAACACAATATCCGGACGTAGAACGTCTATCAGAATGTGATCCTACCCAATCAGCATCTGAGTATCCAACGATCTGCTCATGGCCTCAATCCTCAAACAATAATCCTTTACCTGGAGTCGATTTTATATACCGAAAAATACGGACAACTGCATCCCAATGACTATCACAGGGAGAATCCATAAATTGACTTACAACACTCACATGAAAGGAAATGTCAGGTCTGGTCACTGTGAGATAATTTAATTTACCAACCAGCCTGCCTATATCTTGCAGGATCGCTAAGCGGCTCCCCCTGTCCTAGCAGAAGTTTAGAATTCGGATCCATCAGAGTGTCAACAGGTCTACAGCCTGTCATTCCTGTCTCTTCAAGAATGTCTAAGGCATACTTTCGCTGTGAGATCACAATACCTGAGCTAGACTGAGCGACCTTAACACCCAGAAAATACTTTAGTCTGCCCTGGTCCTTAGTCTGAAAGTGTTGAAAGAGATGTTGCTTCAATTTAGTAATACCATCCTGATCATTGCCAGTAATAACAATATCGTCAACATAGACCACCAGATAAATACAGAGACTTGAAGGAGAATGCCGATAAAACACATAGTGATCAGCTTCACTACGAGTCATGTCAAACTCCTGGATAACTGTGCTGAATTTACCAAACCAGGCTCGAGGAGATTGTTTTAGACCATAAAGTGACTGGCGCAAGCGACATACAAGGCCACGAGACTCCCCCTGAGCAACAAACCCATGTGGTTGCTCCATATAAACTTCATCCTCAAGGTCACCATGTAGAAAAACATTCTTAATGTCCAGCTGATAGAGAGGCCAATGGCGAACATCAGCCATGGATAGAAAAAGACGGACTGATGCTATCTTAGCCACGGGAGAGAAGGTATCACTGTAATCGAGCCCAAATATCTGAGTATATCCCTTGGCAACAAGACGGGCCTTAAGTCGATCAACCTTGCCATCCGGACCAACCTTGACTGGATAAACCCAACGACAACCAACAATAGATTTACCTGAAGGAAGAGGAACAAGTTCCCAAGTACCACTCGTATGTAAAGCAGACATCTCGTCAATCATAGCCTGACGCCATCCTGGATGAGACAATGCTTCACCTATAAACTTAGGGATGAAAACAGAGGACAAAGAAGATATAAAAGCATAATAGGGTGATGACAGACGATGATAACTTAAACCGACATAATAGGGATTAGGATTAAGTGTGGTCCGTATACTTTCCGAAGTGCAATTGGTGTACTAGGAGACAAGTCCGCAGTAGGAGCAGGGTCAGTGCAGGACGTGAGTCGGCTGGGCGCGGACGACGATGATAAGTCAAGAGTGGTGTTCCTGTGGCTGGGGATCTAGGAGGAGCAACACTAGACTCCTCAACAGTTGGGGATCTAGGAGGAGCAATACTAGACTCCTCAACGGTTGGTATAGGTAAGACTTCTGTAGTTGAAGGTGGAGGAGGAGCTATGTAAACTCCTCAAAGGTCGGTATAGGTAAGACCTCAGATATATCAATATGGTCAGAAGAGGTAAAGAAAGGTTTAGACTAAAAAAATGTGACGTCAGCTGACATAAGGTACCTAAGAAGGTGAGTAACAATGATATCCCTTATGAACACGAGAATAACCAAGGAAGACACACTTGAGAGCACGAGGAGCTAACTTATCTTTCCCAGGGGCTAAGTTATGAACGAAACATGTGCTCCCAAAAATACGAGGGGGAAGAGAGTATAAAGGTGACTGGGAAAACAATACTGAATATGGAATCTGATTCTGGATGGGAGATGAAGGCATCCGATTAATCAAATAACAAGCCGTGAGAACTGCATCGCCCCAAAAACGCAACGGAACACGAGATTCAATGAGAAGAGTGCGAGCAGTCTCAATGAGGTGCCTATTCTTTCTCTCTGCAACCCCATTTTGCTGAGGGGTATAAGGACAAGATGTCTGATGAATAATTTCTTGAGAAGTCATAAACTGCTGAAATTGAGAGGATAAATTTTCTAAGGCATTATTACTGCGAAAAGTGCGAATAGAGACACCAAATTGATTTTTGATTTTAGCACAAAAATTCTGGAATATTGAAAACAACTCAGAACGATCTTTCATTAAGAAAAGCCAAGTACACCTTGAATAATCATCAATGAAACTAACAAATAACGAAATCCCAAAGTTGAACTGACTCTACTAGGACCCTATATATCAGAATGAACTAAAGAGAAAACAAACTCTGCATGACTCTCAACACTACGCGGAAAGGAGGCTCGGGTATGTTTCCCAAGCTGACACGACTCACAATCTAATGTAGACAAATTAGGCATCATCTTCTGAAGTTTGGATAAACTCGGATGTCCTAATCGTCTTGAATTAGCTCTGGAGGATCTGTAACTAGACATGCTTTGGCGGGATTGAGTAAGTTAAGGTAGTAAAGGCCTTCTGATTCACGCCCTGTGCCAATCGTCTGTCCCGTAATGCAGTCCTGCATAATAAAAGAATCATCAATAAAATATATACCACAATGGAGGGCACGAGTCAAACGACTAACAGATACAAGATTAAAAGGACAGCCAGGGACATAAAGAACGGAATCTAGAGTGACAGAAGATAGGGGATTAGCTTGTCCAACTCCTTTTGTTTTAGTTTGAAACCCATTGGCTAAAGTAACAGTGGGAAGAGACTGTGAATACACAATATTCGACAAAAGAGATTTATTACTAGAGATATGATCAAAAGCGCCTGAGTCCATGACCCATGGTCCAAGAGTACTAGATTGGGAAACACAAGCAAAATAATTACCAGCAACAGAAGTATCAGTCTGAGCAACCGAGGCTACTTGTGGAGATGTTTGCTTACTTGCTCGATACTAAAGGAACTCATTATATTCTCCTTCAGATAAAGAAAATCCCTGGTTACCTGTAGTCTCGGTCTGAGCAACATAAGCATTTTTGGGTGGTCGACCATGTAAAGAATAGCACACTTCACGAGTGTGTCCAAGTTTATGACAATAAGAACACTTGGGTCTAGATCTTCCAAAACGACCTTCTCCTCGTCTATTCTCCATAGTTTGAGATGCCCGATTTTTCACTGTCTGAGATGCGAGAACAGAGGAGTCAAGTGTCTGTGATGAGATCACTGGGTGACTTGGTGCTGCAACAAGGCGAAGTAATCGAGAGAATAATTCCTCAGACTAGCCAAATTCTGGTCACGTACTGAATCAAGGTCATTAGGAAGTCCAGTGAGTGTAAGAACTAGAAACATCTTCTGTCGTTGCTTTTGTTGCTTTTCAATATTAGCAGAAACTGGCATCAACTTCTTAAATTCTTGCATGACTGCCTGTACTTGCCCCAAGTAAGTAGACATATCCAATTCCTGTTTCTTCAAGCTTGTCATTCGCGATATCACATCATAGAATCGAGATATGTCATTAGTGTATAAAGTACGAGCCTTTTCCCAAACTAAAAAACATGTCTGGAATGGACGGAAGAAGGGCATCAACTTGGAATCAATAGATCGCCACGGGATATTACATAACTGAGCATCGACCTTCTCCCAAAGTGCTTTGGCCTTTTCATCTCCTTCGCTAGCCCTTTTTGTTAAATGATCTTGAACACCTTGACCTTTACACCACAATTCGACAGTCGAAGCCCAAGCTAAGTAGTTTGAACTTCCCATTAAAAGTTCTGAGGTAATCATAATACTGGAACTTTCAGAATCTGTGTATTTAGACCTAAAAGCATCAAGTCCGAGAGACATGGTTGGATTGAAGAGAGGGTTAGCAAAAATATCAGCAAATAACAGAAGAGAAAGCCGAAATCTGGATAATTTTGCCTGAAAAATCAGAAGCAGTCGCCGAAACCTGGATTTTTTCGCCGGAAAATAAAAAAGTCGTCGGATTTTGGTGAAACTTGGATGGGTAGGCTCGGAAAAGCCTCACGAACAAGCTGCCTGAAGAAAAAAATTCGAAATCTGGCCGGAAAAAGGCCACACGCGCCGGCGCGTGGAGAAACAGTCGTCGGAATTTCTGACCTCCAATGGGCGCGTGAGAGATCGGTTGCCGGAGATCTTTTATGGGGTTTGATCGCGGAAGGCTATGTTGCTCGGACCCTCCAAAAATATCTCCGAGGTGCGTGTCGGATCCTCCAAAAGTAGTGTATTTTGGAGGATCCGACACGGGTGCGGCAACATTTTGTAGAGTCTGCGCAACATAGGCGGAAGGCTTGGGGACCCTGTGGTGGTGTTGGTTTTCGCACAACACCAACAGACTGATCTGACGCAAATCAGCCCTAGAAAGTCGCCGGAATTTGACGCACGACAACTGTCAAACTTTTTTTTTCTGGATGTGTCTCACTCACGCTCTTATACCATGTGAGAAATAGTAGAAAGTCGCCGGAATTTGATGCACGACAACTGTCCAACTTTTTTTTTCCGGATGTGTCTCACTCACGCTCTGATTCCATGTGAGAAATAGTACACGGGAAAATTATATTATTGATAATGTTAACTATAATACAAGTACCCCTATTTATAACAATACACAATACCTACACCACTCCTATTCCAGGTAGGACTATGCTTATTTACATAATAACTAACTAACAGAAAGCCTATAGGCCCTATACATTCCAATTATCTATTGTTCTTTCCACTGGTCAAAACTGCATGACATCAACTACTTTAAGGACCTAAAGCCAAAAAAGATTGCATTGCAATCTGAATGAATGATCGTTTAGGTTTGGTTTAAAATGAGTTCAACAAACAATTCAATGTTGACATCATTTGTTAACTTATTTCAGCATTCAGTCGAAAGAACTCTGTAGCATGGTCTTGAATTGTTTTCTTCATAAATTATCCCCCCACCCATATAGCCACTTATAGTGGACATAATCTGCTAAAAATTTGTCATGGCTAACTTTTTTTTTTTTTANTACTTTGAAAAGTATCTTCTCCTTGTCTTTCATGTTAAATACCCTCCTTTTGGATGCTTTGTTGTATATTTTCCTTTACTAAATTGGCCATGAAAAGTATCTCCTCCTCAGTTGGCTTATTTAATTCTTTTCCGATGTGTGCTTTTGTTTTTACTGTATGATCTAACTTCATAATGATTTGTAGACAAGCTAGTGACTTTGATACACTAGCATTTACATCTCAACTTGATTGCTCAGTTGTGTGTCATATAAAGTTAAAGATTTATATGTTTATGTTTAACTAGGATGTGTGAACTGCCACTGGTCTGGGACGAAGATAAAATGAAACTTGTTAGCATCTATGGTCAGGTGAATTCAAGGTCGATTGTTGCTGGCCTGGATATAGAAACACTCCCTCTGTCCAAAAAAGAATTGTACTTCCTTTTTGGGTTGTAACAGAGTGGTTTTAGTTTCTCTTAAAAAGGGAAAGTTTTTATATAACTCGAAAGTTACCTGGGATGCATTTCTACTCTATGAAATACCACTTTTATTCTATTCTATTATCCGAAAATAAAAGATAATTGTATTTCCCACGTTTTCCCCTAGAAATACTAAATAACTCACTCTTTTAGCTATTCTCTTTGTATCAGTTACGGGTCAAACTAGCATTCTTAAAATTGGACAGGGGATTCATCTGAGCTAACTTCCTTGGTAATTTCTAGCATATTGAGACGCTGCATCTAATTTTTCAGTGGCTCTGCATTTTCCTGTGTTTTGGTAGATTTTCTAGTCTGCCTATCTTGTTTAAAGATGTAAAATTTGGTTCAACCACTGTAGATGAACCCACTCAAAGCTTTCCAGTAGAGTAGAACTTTTTATTTTATTGTGAAGTGCTTCTGAGTTTAACCTCAATTGACTGTCTTTCTTACAGCTTCCAGAATTCTGCTCAAGGGATAGCTCCTTAACTGTTAAGGAAATATTTGGAGTGGCAGAGTAAGTGACTTCTTCAAAAACATTTGTCAATCATTGTGCGCGACATTGGAATTCCGTTGATCACTGTTTACTTTTCCTTACCTAATCTTTCTCAGTGAGGATGCTGAAAAGCTTCGTTTACATACTATCCCAGAAGCTGGGAACATGTATTCACTTGAGAGGATGGTGAATGAGTCAGATTCAGAAGTTTGGGGTGATGAATCTGCTAATGTTTCCTGATTCACGTCGCTTGAGTGTAGGCCAGTTGTTGGTTGGGAACATTGTGGAAAGTAATACAAAACTATGATGAGATAACTCAATATAACCTACACATCCTTTGCAGGGCCAAGTCATCATCCCTAACAGCGGATAAAGAGAAGTCATAACTCCAAAACTGCAGCTATAACTAAACCACCATGGTCTTGTGAAATTTGGTCTAGAATTGCTTCAATTTTGTGCCCAGACCACTTTTGATACAAAATGCTTGGTGTTTGTTGAATGTGTTTGGTTCGAGGTAAACCTGTGTATTTCAAAGGTGTAAGTCGTCAAACACCAGAAATTATTACAAGTTCCTTGGTGCCAGGGAACATGATTTTTGAGCTTAAGTTGTGGACAATGCTATAATTGGTCGACAATTGGGCGCAAACAATTAGGATGGTAACTTAAATTTGAACTGATGACTTAGACGGAGATTACAGAACACAATACAAGTAACTGATGCATCAGTCAAGTTGACTAATTTTTCGTAGTTGAATGTGATGGGACTCATTTAGACGTTTATGATAAAACGGAAATTACAAAAACACAATGCAAGTAAGTGATGCATGAGTCAAATTGACTAATTTTTCGTACTTGAATCCAATAGGACTCATTTAGAAGTTTATGATAAATAGATATTGCTCTTGGGAAAACGTACTTTTTGATCCGGAGTAGTTGAGATTAAAAAAATCGGAAGATCAAAAATACCCTCTATTGTTTGATAAATGGTTAAATGTATCTCCATTCACCCTTCGTTCAATATTGCGCACATTGTTATCTTTTAGAGTAAATATACCCTCATGACTAAGGAATAATGTGTGGGTCTTTTTTTAATGCATTGGCATCACTTTATTTGGTCACGTGGCACCCCAAATTGGATTGAATTATACCCTCCCCCCCCAAAACATTTGGACAACCCAGCTCCCATATAACCAGGGCATTTGCATCTATACCTAGTTTTTGGGTCAACTTTTAACTTATACCCGCTTTGCAAAAAAAATTGCAAGCGTACCCACTTTTTGGGTAACTTTAGACATACGGGCCTGAAGTAGCAAAAATTTATGTCTGAAGTTTGAGCTTCAGAATGTTTTGCCTGAAGTGTAGCAAAACTTCAGATATTTTTGCCTGAAGTTTGGCCTGACTTGCAAAGGCAATCACGCAAACTTCAGTTCATAGTGCAATGACAAACTTCTGCTCAATAAAACTACAGCATATTTTGGCTGAAGTTTTTGTTTAGTAATTGATGAACTTCAACATTCTAGGAGCTGAAGTTTGTTTTGTAATTGCTGAACTTCAGCATTCTAGGAGCAGAATTTTGTTTTGTAATTGCTGAACTTCAGCATTCTAGGGCTGGAGTTTGTTTTGTATTTGCTGAATTTTAGCATTCTAGGAGCTGAGATTTTTGTTTATATTTATTGAACTTCAGCATTCTTAGAGCTGAAGTTCTAAGTCTGCACACGAAAATGAGGAAGATAATCTTTCAAAAAAAGAATTCAACATAAGAATATATTGTACATAAACGAAATAGTACTAAACAACAATGAATTTAATAGATCATGATTAGCAGCGANCCATATGTAACAATGGTAATCAACAACTTGAATATCTCAGTGAAGTGCGCAGAAGTACAAAGGAATTATTTGAATAAAATGTGGCTGACTTGGAGGATGCTGTTTGTCTCGAAAGGCAGAACGTGGTGGCTGAAATGGAGGGCATTAATTTAGCCAATTTAGCGAATGTGTCTAAGATGGAGGATAAATTACGAAGGATGAAGTTGTTTGTTGTTATTTCCTGCGTTGTCTTTGTTGTGATTTTAATATAGTTTGGTTATTACTGTTTTCAAGAGCATTGTAATGCTCCTTTTGGTGCTATTATGACCTTTTTGTTGTTTTAGTTTCTTGTGATTCAACTTTCGAATAATCATTATGTCCAATTAATCATCAAAGACCTAATCACGATCTCTAACAATAAGGTAATTCAAGCAGTCATACAATAATTTGAAGCATATCACAAGAATAATATGTGCAAATGTGTATTCGTAATACAATGTGCAACTACAGACAAGTCAAGTATATCGTCAATCTTAAGAATGGCTCATCATGCCCAAAATAAGGTATAATTAACCTAACGTTATCTCTAGCATAATTCATTGTGCTCACATAGTCATTCAATCAAGTAAAGCATAGAACAAGTAGAACACACAATCCAAACAAGGCATAAAGTAGTATAGAATCTACCCCGAGCACGAATACCCATAGAATATGTATATACGCTCGTTACTTCATGTATACATCACTCCCGCATGTAGCAAACAATATCATTTATCAGGAAAACTTCCTTCAACCAAAGCTAGGAAGACACTCACCTCATCTTGACTAGTCTAAAGCTCCAAAACCAAACATTCTCCCCCTCTTAAACAAACGTTCGTCCTCGAATGAATTTAGAATTATACATGAAGTGCCAAAAAGGTAAGGATATTTGCTCTGCATATCATGCTCAGTTTCCCAAATTGCCTCCTCGACCGGTTGTTCTCTCCACTGATCCTTCACTAATACAATATCTTTTGACTTAGCTTCCAAACCTACCTATCCAATATGGCCACTGACTCCCATCATAAGCCAAATTCTCATCGAACTGCACTGTGATAAAGTCCAAAACATGTGACTTATCTTCATGATACTTCCAAAGCGTAGAATCATGAAACATCGGGTGAACTCCTAATAAGCTAGGTGGCAAAGCAAGCATGTAAGCCACCTCACCCACTCTCTCCGAAACCTCAAATGGACCAATGTATCGAGGACTCAACTTGTCCTTCCACCCGAATCTCATAATGCCCTTCATATGTGAAACTCTAAAAAGAATATTCTCACCCTCCATGAATGCCACATCACGAACCTTCCTATCAGTATAACTCTTCTGTCTGGAGTGCATTGTGCAAAGCCTCTCATGAATCAACTTCATCTTCTCCAGAGCATCACAAACCAAATCACCACCTAGTAATCTAGCCACACTAAGCTCAAACCAACCAATCGGAGTACGATATCTCCTCCCATATAATGTCTCATATGGAGCCATCTGGATACTAGACTGGTACCTGTTGTTGTAGGCAAACTCCGCTAAAGGTAGAAACTAATCCCACAGACCATCAAAATCAATAACGAGGCTCTCAACATATCCTCTAAGATCTGAATGGTCTGCTCAGATTTCCCTCCATCGGGTGAAATGCAATACTCAACTCAACCTGCATGCCCAACTCACGCTGAAGAGTTCTCCAAAAGTGCGATATAAACTGAGTGCCGCGATCCGAGATGAGAGAAATAGGTACACCATGCAAGCAGACAATCTCTCTAATGTAGATCTTAGCCAACTGCTCCGAAGTGTAGGAAGTCATAACCAGAATGAAATGTGCCGACTTGGTCAACTGATCCACAATGACCCCAGCAACATCAAACTTCTTCAAGGTCCGTGGAAACCCTACCACAAAGTCCATAGTAATACGCTCCCACTTCCACTCCTGTATATCAATCTTCTGAAGGAAACCGCCCGGTATCTAATGCTTATACTTGACCTGTTGAAAATTCAAACCCTACGAAACATGACCAACAATGTCCTTCTTCATCTTTCTCCACCAATAATGCTGCTTCAAGTCATGATACATCTTTATAGCACCTAGGTGAATATACCTCAAACTTTGAGCCTCCTCAAGAATCAACTCTCTCAAGCCATCAATATTAAGAATACAAATCCGACTCTGAAGTCTCCACACACCATCATCATCAATAGCCACCTCCTTGGCACCACTCGCTGTACCGTGTCCTTAAGGACAAACAAATGGGGATCATCATACTGGTGGGCCTTAATACGCTCAAACAAGGATGACTGTGCAATAACGCAAGCAAGAATTCTGGTAGGCTCAGAAATATTCAATCTCACCAATCTATTAGCCAACGCCTGAACATCCATAGCTAAAGGCCTCTCTACAACTAGAATAAATGCCAAAATTCCATACTCTCTACCTTTCTACTCAAGGTGCCTGATACCACATTAGCCTTCCCCAGATGGTATAGAATAGTTATATCAATCCTTCAACAACTCCAACCATCTCTGCTGCTCTAATTTGAATCCTTCTATTTGAAAAAAAGCTGGAGACTCGGTGATCAGTGTAAACCTCACAAGACACGCTATATAAGTGATGCCTCAAAATCTTGAGCGCGTGCATAATAACTGTCAACTCCATATCATGGACCAAATAGTTCTCCTCATGGGGCTTCAATTGGCGTGACACATAGGAAATTACCCTACCATCATGCATCAATACACAACCAAGGCCAATACGCGAAGCATCAAAATAAATATTATACATCCCCGATCCTGTGGGCAATACCAAACTAGAGCCATAATCAAAGAAGTCTTGAGCTTCTAAAAGCTCTCCTACACTCATTAGACCATATGAATGGAGCACCCTTATGAATCAATTTAGTCAATGGAGCTGCTATAGATGAAAATCCTTCCATAAACCGACGATAGTAACTAACCAAACCTTAAAAATCCTGATCTCCATAGCGGTAGAAGGTCTGGGCCAACTCAAAACTGCCTCAATTTTCTTCGGATCCACCTTGATCCCATCACTGGACACCACATGGCTCAAGAATACAACTGAATCCAACAAAAACTCACACTTGGAGAACTTATCATAAAACTTCTTCTCCATCAAAATCTGAAGCACAACCCTCAAATGCTGCTCGTGCTTCTCCCTACTATGGGAATATACCAAGATATCATCAATGAAACTAGTAACAAGGAATCCAAATAAGGCTTGAACACACTGTTCATCAAATGCATAAAAGTTGTTGGGGCATTAGTTAAGCCAAAAGACATAACCAAATGCATAGTGGCCATAACGGGCACTGAAATCTGTCTTAGGAATGTCCGAAGTCGTGATCTTCCATTGATAATAACTTGATCTCAAGTCAATCTATGGGAACACCCTAGCACCCTGAAGCTGATCAAACAAGTCATCAATGCAAAATAGGGGATACTTATTCTTAATGATAACCTTGTTTAACTGCCTACTGTCAATACACATCCTCATGGAACCATCCTTCTTCTTTACAAATGATACCGGCGCACCGCAAGTGAAACGCTCATTCTGATGAAACCCATATCCAACAACTCCTATAACTCTTCCTTCAATTTCTTCAACTTCGCTGGTGCCATGCGATACGCTGGAATAGATATGGACTAGCCCGACAACAAATCAATAAAGAAATCAATTTCCCTATCAGGTGTCATATGTCCTTTAGGTCCGCAAGAAACACATCTGGAAACTCTCTCACTACTGGAGCTGACTCAACAGTTGGAGTATCAGCACTGA